AGGTTATGAAGGAGAGTTTAGCTGGGTATAGTATTCTTGGTTGATAATTGTTTGTCTTTAGGCATGGCATACATCATTCCAGGCTCTTCTTGCTTTGATTGAATCTGCTGAGAAATCTGAGATGATTCTAGTTGTTTTGCCTTTATAGGTAATTGATCTTTTCTCCTTAACAGCTTTAAGGATATTTTCCTTGGTGTGAATTGATCCTGTGTGGGTTATAATGTGACAGTGGGATGTCCTGTTCTGGTCTCGTCTATTTGGAGTTCGAAAAGCTTCTTGTTTCTGAATAGGCCTATCTTTCTGCATGTTTGGGATGTTCTCTCCTAGGATCCTGTTAATCAAATTTCCTAGACCATTAACTTCTGTCTCTAGGTGCTCCTCTACACTCATTATCCTCAGATTAGGTGTCTCTTAAATCTGGTATTGATCTATAATATTCCTTGGATTTGTCTTGGATGGCTGTATGTTCTTTCTCTATAATATCTAGGATGTCTTCATTAATTGAGATTCTATCTTCTGCATGGTTTAACCTGCTGTCAAGACTTTCCACTTTGTTTTTATTTCTTTTCCTTCTAATTCATCGTCTTTGATGGCTTCAAATTATTAGTTGGAGCTTTGTTTTAGATCTTGTATGAACTTTTTTACTTCCTTAATTTGTTGTTCAGTGTTTATTCTCAAATCACTTAGTTGATTGGTTATAGTTTCCTTGGACTCCCATTCCTTCTGTTGGTCTCCCTTCAGCATTCCCTTTGTGGTCTCCTTGACTTCTTTCAGCTCTCTGTTTATGGATTCCATGCATGCTTCTACTGATCTTTGTGTATTCTCATCCTGCTCTCTCAATTCCTGTATTACTCTTTGATTAACTTCCCCATGTTCTCACAATTCCTGTAGATCTCTTTGACTGTTCTAAGCCTGCTCACAAAATTCCCGTGTCTCTCTTTGTTCTCAGCCTGTTCATGCAATTCATGTCTTTGTTTTGACTGTTCTCAGCCTGCTCACACAATTCCTTTATTTCTCTTTGACTGTTCTCAACCTGCTCACACAATTCCTGTATCAATCTTTGAGTAGCTTCCCCACACTCACGAGATTCCTGTATTAATCTTTGGTTTACCTCCTCTCTCTCCCTGAGTCCCTTACAGGTCTTTAATCTTTTCATTCACAATGTTTACCAGAAGTGTTTGTAGAGCTCTTTGGGAACTGTACACTGGCTTATTCATTAACTGTTCTGTCACCTGATTATCATGAGTGGGAGTTGAAATACCCGGACTTACCATTTTTCTTGTTCTTTTCTGGCTTGTTCTGCCCATTTGGTATGAAAGTAACACCAATTTTGTGCTAGAAGACTATTTTAAGGCAAACATCAACCAAAGTCCTGTAGTTGCACAGTCAAAAGCCAGTTGATATAATCTAGTTCAACAGACACAATCTATTCAACATCAAACAACTATGGATTAATGGGCTAAGAGCAGCAATGAAGAATTTGGCAAACCAGAAATTATTAGGTTTTGGGAGAAATATGAGGAAAAATAGGATTAGAGGGATATGGGGAGGTAAAAGTAGAGTGATTTAACCAACTCCTAATCTCAGAGAGGGAAATGAATTGGACAGAATGTTAGGAGAGAGATTAAAAAAGGGAAGAAAAAAACAAGAAAAAATGGAAAAACAAAAATTCTTAAAATATTATATATAGAGAGATAATACTGCTATTATCTCTATTGTCTCTATTATCAATTCTGCTATTGAAGAATTTAAGCCAAAGAGGTTGAATAATAAATTTCTGGATTAAATGTGTACACAAAGGGGGATAAGGTCTAATAATCGACGATGGAATATATCTGCGGATGAACAGAAAAGCAATTAAGTCACTCAAAAAAGAAAGAGAAAAGAATGAAGAAAATAAAGAAAGAAAGCACCAAAAGGTCAATAGAGATAAAAAAAAAAGCACACACACATATATACACCTAAAGTAAAAATTATAAGAGGAAAAAACAAGATTAATAAGAAACAATTTTTAAAAAATTAAAAATTAGAAAAAGATCTTTTAATTTTTTTGAGGGGGGACATGGGAAGATCCTGTATCTCCCTTGTGTTCATAACCAGTCTCTTTGTGGAGTCTTTGGTCTGCTTGAAACGTTTGGTTTTCCTGTGGCTTGATTGGTTTCTTTTATTTATTTTTTTTTGTGGGGGTTCCTGTCGTGGGGTGTGAACTCTGGGCCTGTGTACTGTCCCTCAGCTCTTTAGCTCAAGGCTAGCACACTACAACTTGAGCCACTGTGCCACTTCAGGCTTTTTTTTTCTTTTTGCTTATGTGGTACTGGGGAATCGAACCCAGGACCTTATGCATGCAAAGCAAGCGCTCTACCACTGAGCCACGTTCCTGGCCCTTGATTGGTTCCTTTTTATTATTTTATTTTATTGTAAAAATATTGTACAGAGGTGTAATTACATGGGCAAGATATTGAGTACATTTCTTATCAATCATGGTAGCCTCCTCCTTTGTTTCTGCTTCCCATCCCTTCCCATCTTCCCCCCGCCACCCCCACCCAATCCTCCTTCCCCCACTCCAAAGTTGTAAAGTTCGTTTTTGACATAACGACTTGTACATCTCATTGTTGCAATAGGTCCACCTGTATCCCTAGTTAAACGATTTGTTTATTTCCCTTCCCCTCCACAAATAATACCAACATCAAAAACAGTGAAAGTATGGGTTATACTGTGGGGGAGGAACATACAAAGCAACATAGAAATCATCTTATAAATATAATAGAAACAATTGCATGAAAGGAAAAAAAACAAAAAAACATTTGAATACTTATCTTGGGGTTCATTTCCCTACACATCAACTTTCTACACATTCCCTTACTTACATATTTACCATTTTAATAATCTTGTCGTCTATGTAGATATATGTTGGCATTTTTTTTCACTTGAAGCAGGATACTTTATTGTAACACTTAAAATAATGTGTTAATGAAGCATTCTCTTTCCCTAGAAATACTTTCAATGCATTTTGTTAGAAGAGGCCCTTTCCCCACTGGATTGTGTATTGAAGTCTATTTTCTTTCAAAACTTTACAGATATATTTTCCTTTTTGTGTGTTACTCATCATTCACCTGATATTTTCAAGCATGACTGTATTGGAGGGATTGTTGGCCATTGTTCATTTGTAATGGATTTCAAATTGGGAATAAAAAAATCTTTCCTTTTAAGCACTGAACAAGAAATTAGTACCGTATTTTATTGCGATTTGTAAATTTTTTCTATATTTTTTAGATCATGTCCCTCTTCATATTTTTTTTACCCTATCCTTCTTGTGGTAGTCATGTTTCACATTTTTGGGGGGTCTTCTTGAACGTTCCTCAAGCCTCTATCCATTTACATGCATCCTAACCTTAAGGCCTATTAAAATTCAAAGTTGGTTAAGAAACATTTTATGGTAATAAATATATATTCGGTATTATAGGAAGTAGGTGATGTTCATAAAAGTTCATGCTAGCAGTTCTTTACTTATGAAGGAAGCATCTGGCTATCTATGAACACACTTTTATATCTAGAAATTTAAAAACAAAAATGATTAATATAGGATGTTTTATTATGAGAACTAGGTCAAATCTTATGAAAGCCAACTCATTCATTTACTATTTTTGAGTACTTTTACTCTCTTTAACATTTAGCTGGACACTGCATTTCATAGATCTATTAATGTGTTATTTATTCCATATGATGTAATGACCATGTTGTGATCGCTTATGAGAGCATTATTTAATAGAAAATCTGAATAGGACTTTCAGTAAGGCAGAATATGAAAATGCAGGAAAATATTTGTTTACTTCACTGTTCCACAGATGTGTTGTAAATATTACCAAAATAAGCTAAACACACACTTTCAGACTCCTACTTATACTTAATGTTGTCATGCAAGATGATTAGCTTCTTAGAACTGGTTATCTTGTCTTTATTGCTGGAATCAGAAGTGTGTTTTGATGTATTAGAAAAACTTAGTATTTGTATTTTCAAAATAAAAATATATATACATAACTATATTAAAAAATAAAGAAAAGCTTAGTATTTGTAATTACAAAGTTACTATGGGGGAAAATATTTTTACATTGATTTTTTTTCTCTCTCACTGTATAGATAACAGAGCAAGCTCCAAACACATTCTGTGAGACAAAAGCATACATAAAGAAGAAAGAAATTCCAGCCTTGGTGTTTTCATGACTCATTGATAATTAATTTATGGAATATGTCCGTATAGAAGCTGGTGTCATTTGATGATGTGGCTGTGGAGTTCAGTTGGGAAGAGTGGCAGGAATTGGATATTTCTCAGAAGACCCTGTATAGAGATGTGATGCTGGAAACATATGGCATCCTGGTGTCCTTGGGTAAGCTGGAAATATCACATTAAGTTGAAAGGTCAAATGATTTTTTTGTTGGTGGTTTGTCTTGAATTCTGGGCCGAGGTGCCATGCCTCAGCTTTTCAGCTCAGCGTGAGCACTCTATCATTGGGCCACATCACCTCTCCCAGCTTTCTGGTGGTTAATTGGAGATAAGTGTTTCACAGGTTTCTTGCCAGGGCTGGGTTGTACTGCGATCCTCAGATCTCAGATTACTGAGTAGCTAGAATTACAGGCGTGAACCACTAATGCCCAGAAATGATTTGTTTTTTAGTAGATATGTGAATATTTATCGAATTTCCAATGCTATTTAGATGTAAGATTCCAGCCTGTGGGAAGTGTCATTTATTTCTAAGGAAAGCTTCAGGTGGATTATATACATTCCAAGGCAATTTAATTCTCATTCTTCAAGAATCCAAATCGGCAGTTTGACAAAAATTCCAAACTATGTTCCCTAACCAGGAGACAGTCTCCACAAAATTGAGGTGATTATTGCAAGGCAAGCACATTCTACCACCAAGCTACCTTTCCAGCCCGTATAGGCTGAGTTTTGATGCAAGCCCTTCTCTGACTTCCTTCCCATTGCTACCGCAGGGAAAGGGCAGAGCTTGACGAAGCAGCAGGAGAAGCTGGCCAAGTTGGCCAAGAAGAGGAATATCCCCATTTCCAGTATCCAACACGACCTGGAAACTGGTAAGGCCCAGATCATGGTTTTCCTATGGCCTAACTGCACCTCCCCCAACCAAAAAAAAAAGAAAAGAAAAGAAAAAAGGAAATCATGCCATGACAGATCATTCTAGAAGCTTATTACTTAGCATTATCTGGATGCACAATTGCATGTTACTTGAGTGTTAGTGATAAACTTGGTGATGTCTGACATCTATCCCTGATCTTGTGTTCTTTTCTTTTCTTCCTTACTCTTTGTCACAGATGATTGTCCAGAGTAAGGACACTGGCCCTGGGTAAGTCGACACTGACACCTGTTGCCCTCCACACTCCCAAATGGGAGGTATTTTTCCTTGGATGGTTTGGTTTGATATGGAAGAGATATGACTCGGTTCAATAGGGAAAGCTTTAGACGCTGAGACCCTTGGGCAATGGTCTCCTTCTAGAACTGCTTGTGTTTTCCATGTGCAATCTGCACTATGAAGCCATTCACAGTGTCTCAGGGGCATTTGATCGTCCTCTGCTCCCTCCCAACAGGTGGTAGCATCTTCAGGAACACATCCATCTTCCTCGTTCAAAGGGAATCAGCTCTAGGATGAAAAGCCATCCTGAACTTTCAACCATCTTTTCCCCTTTCTTATGAAGCCATCATGCTGATTCACAGTTTTGTGTCTTCTTCCCTTTCTCCTGAAATTTGCACTGTCATGACTTAAGTGATTCAATAAACTAATTCCCAAGCATCTAATTCTGACTGTAAAGATTTGAATCAATGTCTCCTGTCCCAGAAATAGCCACCCCAATTGAGAGATGGAAAACTAAGTCTATAAGAGAACAGAAGATTCTTTGTCATAAAAAAAAATCAGAATAAGCCAGGTGCCGGTGGCTCATGCCTTTCATCCCAGCTAACTTAAAAGGCTGAGTTCTGAAGGATCCTGGTTCTAATGCAGCCTGGGCAGGAACAGACTGTGAGACTCTTATCTCCAATGAACCACTAGTAAACCAGAAGTGGCAACATATACGTGTGTGTGTGTGTATAAAATTCAAAGTGGTAGGGGGCCAGCCTTGAGCTGAAGAGCTCAGGGACAGCACCCATGCCTAGAGGCCTAGAGTCCAAACCCCATGGCTGACAAAAAATAATTCAGAATATAACCAGACTCCTGCCACTAATCCTAGCTACTCAGTATAGAAGGGTTTGAACTCAGCTCCAAGAGACTGTGATCACCCATTAGTCACCCAAAACCCAGGAGTGGTGCTATGGTTTACATAGTAGAGTGGTTCTAGCCTTCAACGCAGAGCCTTAGGGAGAATTCCCAGACCCTGAGTACAAGCTCAGGACTGGAAAAACCCACAAAGAAACAAGAACAGAGTACTTGAATGTTTCAGCATTAGGACAAAAAAAGGTAACCTTCAAAACTGTAAGGATACCTTCATTTCTGTAGATTCCACATGAAATGTGAGGCCAGGTGGCTCTTTTTAAATTTTATTGTTAAATTTTCCTGTAACCACCATGAGATTTCCAGACCCATCAGATCCTATGGAAGTGGAGTATTGGGTGTATGACTTATTTGGTTTAACCATTTTGGTGAACTTGATCTCCAGCCCAGGGTGGGACTGGAATAGCAATTATTTCATATTAAAGTATGCATACTCCTTATGCATATATACTGAGCTATGTCCTGTTAATTGTGGGTTGGGAGATGTTTAGAGGTAAACAGATGAAGTCTCCCCACTGTAGAGTTGTATGTTCAAGGCTCCTCGTGTTCCTAAGGCCTTTTTTATGTCATTCAAGAGCTCCAGCCTCTACATTCCTGGACTTACCCATGTCCATCATTCCTGTAGTCACCAGCAGTAGAGGAGATATTTTTGCTTTTTGTCACTCATGGGGCTTGAACTCTGGTCCTGGGCACTATGCCTGAGCTCTTCAGCTCAAGGCTAAAGCTCTAGCCACATATAAGGCAACATTTCTGGTTTTCTGGTAGTTTCACTGGAGATCAGAACCTCATGGACATTCCTGACTGGGCTGGCTTTGAACTTTTGAGATCCTCCAGATCTCAGCCTCCTGAATAGCTAGGATGAGAGGCGTGAGCCACTGGTGCCAGGCTGGCATTCTTTATTCTTGACACAGGACAGGGCTCAGTTCTGCTGAAAGGAAACCACCACTTGGTTCATGCAGGAGAGAGTTATTGGGGGGCAATCCAACCACTAGCCTTCACCAGATGTAAGCCATGCAGAGAGGTGGAGCTAATGGAGGAGACAGACTATATCTGGGAAAGAGGAAGAAGAGGTGTGGCCACAACCAGATATGGAAGAGACATGAGAAAGGAAGTAACGTCAGAGGAAGTGGAAGTAAGCCTAGAACCTAGAAATCCTTTGCTGATTCAGTCAGGTGACTAATAGCTACTGGTAACTACTGGGCAGGTGAATTCTGGTGAGCCTCCATTATGTACAAAGACAAGTAAGGGAATAGGGAGGTTCTGTGGGCAGAACTAACAGCACCTTTAGTTTGCCTTCCTGTATCACAACCTGAGACTAAAGCTACATTCTTGGGAAATGTGGGGTATGCCATCATTCACGGTCTTCAAAATTATTTTCTTTCATAATGTTGAAACACTTAAGGACTCTGTAGTTGTCTCTGTGTGTTTTCAGGTCCTGAGTTGGAATCCAGGGCCTGTGCATCCTCCCTCAGGTTTTGTGTTCAAGGCTAGCACTCTACTACTTCTGGGTGTGGGGATGATTCATTGAAGATGAGAATCTCATGGACTTTCCTGCCCCCAGGCTGACTTCAAACCATGATATTTAGATCTTACCCTTCTGGGTAGCTAGGACCAGAAGTGTGAGTGAGCCTGGAGTTATTCTAAATAATAATAATAATTATTATTATTGTTGTTATTATTATTACTATAGTTCTCTTATAGGCTTAGTTTTCCATGATTCAATTGGAGTGGCTAATTCTGAGCCAGGGGACATTGATTTGAGTCTTCACAGTCAGAATTGGATTCTGGGGAACAGGTTTAATGGATCACTGAGTTAAGTCACAATAGCACAAAAAAAGGAAGAAGACAATGAAAAACCTTGAATCCAGATAACGACTTTCCAGGAAAGAGGAAAAGATGTGTCAAAGTTTAGGATGGATTGTTGTCTTAGAGCTGATTCCATTTGAATGAGGAAGATGGATGTGAATGCATTCTTGAAGATGCTACCACCTATTGGGAGGGAGCAGAGAGCAATCAAATGCACCTGAGACCCTGTGAATGGCTTCATAGTGCAGATTGCACATGGAAAACACAAGCACCTACAGAAGGAGAACATGAGGCCCGCATAGCCAAAGGGCAAATTTATTTCTAACAGGACCAAATCAATCTGTGCCTGGGCCTGGTCTTCCTAGGACAAGGAGATGGTTTCCTCAAACCTCTATCCAAGATGCATTTTTGGGTGGTAATGGCTGATGGGTAGTTTGTACTGGAAATTCTGTGTGTATCTTCCATGCCCAAATGATTTCTGAGGATCTGCCCTATGGCTAAGAGAGTGCGTCAATATGACATCCTCCACTAACTCTGAGAGTCCCCCAACGTTCATCATCTTCCATGCTTCAGATCACACATGACTGACTGTGTCCTTCTCCTCACAATTATGTGGAGGCCAAAGTCATCAGGGAAGATTTCTGTGATAAATGTTTTTTTTTTTCTTTCATGCAATTGTTTCTAATATATTTATAAGATGATTTCTATGCTGCTGTGTATGTCCCCCCCCCCTCCACGGTATAACCCCTGCTTTCACTTGATGTTGGTATAATTTGTGGAGGGTAAGGGCAAAAACAAATCATTTGACTAGGGATACATGTGGACCCATTGCAACAATGAGATGTACAAGTCGTTATGTCAAAATAAGAATTTCACAACTTTGGTGGAGGGGGAGGAAGGATCGGGTGGGGAGAGGTGAGGGGAGTATGGGGATGGATGGGAAGGGGACACAAAGAGGAGGCAACAATGCTTGATAAGTAATGTACTCGTTATCTTGCCCATGTAATTGTAACTTATCTGTACGGTATTCTCACCAAAAAAAAAAAACAACAAAACAAAACAAAAAACATAGACTAAGCCAGGCACCGGATGGCTCAGGCCTGTCAGCCTACCTACTTTGCAGGCTGAGATCTGAGGATCACATGTTCAAAACCAGTCCAGGCAGGAAAAATCTATGAGACTCTTATCTCAAGTGAACTACCAGAAAACCAAAATGGTGCCATGGCTAAAGTGGGAGAGCACCAACCTTGAGTTGACAGTGCCCAGGCCCACAGTTCAAAACCCCACGATCAACACCACCACCACCAACAACAAAAATCAAAACAAAAAAACAGAGACTATGACAGTCTCCTTCAAGAGAGACTGTTAACCATGGAACTCCACTTATCCAAAGAAAAATATAGTAGAATTAAAGTACCAAATGGGTTGGGCCAGGTTTGTGTCTACTCACTCCAGGGAAGCTCAGTACTCCATGGGATATACATCTGTGAAAAAGTGCAAGGAAGGAAAAAACACAACAAGACCAAAGGAGATGTTCAATATGACAAAGTTTATGCACTCACACTCGAGTACAGTGCAACTGTAGGCGAAGAACATACTGAGTCAGGATCTTAGATAGTGATTTCATTTCATGCTTTTTTTTGGTATTCTATAGGAAACAGCCCTGGGCCTCACCTGGAAATGGGATAATTTGGATGCTGGAAAATAGGATGTTGTTCTCCTTGGTGAGCTCCTCCACCTTGTTTAACTACCCTGGTCTCAGGGCCTCTAATCTCCCTGCATGCCATAGAGAGGAAAGGAGGAAGGGTGTGCACTGGAACGTGGCCTAGATTTCCATGTGTCCCCTGAGCCACATGGGGCTGTCCCCCCACCCATGGCCTGTCAGCAGCTGGCCCTCCGAGGACCAACCTGGGTTCCCTATGGAGTGAAGGTGTGGTGACATTGATGGAAGTGAACATTTTGGGGTACACACCCTTTTAGGGTCTTTAGGATCACTCATCTGTGGTGCCCCAACAGTTTCTTGGGGGAACTTTGCTCAAGTTCCCCACCCGGCGTTCCCAGGGGGCTCAGAGTGAGGGAGCTTCCGGCTGCGCCCCCTGGTCTCTGGACCACAGCCACCTCCAGGGTCCCCAACCCCATGGGCATTCATGTGGCCAATTGCTACCGGAGCCCTGGCGGGCTGTCCTCGTCCTCCCCAGAGGTTCCTCAGTACTAGATAGGAAATGTACTCATTACCTCACCCAGGTAACTTTAACCCCTCTGTACAGTATCTTTACAACAAAAAAAAAATTAAAAAGAAAAGAGAAAAATAAATCACAGAAACTTTCAGGCCAGGGCACCTTGAATATTTATTAATTAAGCCCATGTCTTTGCCAGTCCTTGTTAGCCTTCTTCTATCTCACTAGAACTTTATAATGCAAAGACATTACCCATATCCCAAGCAAGATTAAAGCATTAAAGAATTAAAGTCACTTAGACACAAGATTTGGCCAGTATAGGCTTTGAAACAAGAGAACCCAATATCACTTGCTCAACCAATAAAAATGATTTATTTTTTTACAAAAACAGTATTAATAGGAAACTAGCTAAATAAAAGTGTGCATATCCATCATTAAAAATCTACTTTCAAAAGACAAAC